GACGCTGACGTCTGGAGCGCGCAGATGGTCGACGCATTCCAATTCGGGGCTACCGTAGTGGTCATGGCCAAGGCAAACAAAAGAGTCGGTGGCGATAGGTCGAGCTCGGCGGGGACTTGGCGGTCACAATTATCGTAAAAGCTAAACATGGTCTGCACGTACGTTTGTGGTGCGCCGTACAAACAGAGGAGGTTGCCGCCGTAGTAGAGCATGTCGGGGCCTTGCCACGTTGGAGGCGTTGGGTTGACCGTGAGTGTTTCTAGCTGCAAAAAAGTCTTCCAGAGTTGGGGATCTCTGAGTTGCTCAAAGAGGTGCTGTTCAAATGCAGAGTACGCAGTCGAGACCACCGATGGTATTGCAATGTAAAGAGCGTCGATCGAGAGGAACGGGCCGACCGTATAGTGAACAAGACCGGTTTGGTTGATGTAGTCGGTGCCAAAGTTGTTGAGCCCCATGTACCCCTCGAAATCGCCCGTGCTCGAGAGTGCGCACGGAGGCGCCGTGAGAAAATAGTTGGTCGTGTTGGCAATCAAGCTCTGGTTGCACAGCTGCATGTAGTAGACGTCGTTGTAGAAGAACCAGTTGAGGTTGATGGTCGTCCACGTTGCCATGCGATACGGAACGTTCTTGATAAGGACGTCCTGGGCAATGCCAATCGCGTTGCGGATCGAGATCGTCTCCTGGATACCCGCGTCGTACGAGTTTTGCCACGGTAGTGCAAAGGACGTCAGCCCACATTGACGCCAGTAGGCGACTTCGCTCTCGAAAGTCGTGGTACTCAGCGCGGTGCCCGTTGTCGTGAGCCACTGCCGCCCGTATGCGCTCTCCTCCAGACCGGTCTGCAGACCCATGGTAAAGAGATTGCCTGGACCACCATAGTTGGCGAGAAAAGCAGCAAAGTCGACGTTGCGCAAGACCGACTCGACGTACGCGGCGGCGTTCGTGGCGTAGCGCTGAGCGCACCGAGTTTGCCGTGCGGACGTATGTGCAATCTCAAACACATGTGCAAAGTCGACCCAGCAATACTGCGAGCAGATCCAGAGGCTGCCGCTCGCATCCAAGTGGCGAAGTGCAAGGACTGCGTGCTCGATCGACGTGTAGCTGCCAAGTAAGAGCGATCGCGCGTAGGTGGCGGGTACATTGACGCTGCCCGACGCTGAATTATACAAGGTGGGCAGGACGGCGGCAGGTCCGAGTAGATCCAACGGTGTCTCGTCATGGGCTTTGAGTGCGAGGTTGGTGAGGTCGATCAAGAACGCTTCGTAGCCGCTGACGTTGTACTGTGGCCAAAACAAGTCATTCGCCAGGATGGGTGTCAGTAGCGCGAGGTAGTAGAGACCAGCGGCGAGCGAGAGCAGGACCGAGGCAGCACCAGCGCAGAGATGCACGCACCCCGTACGGTGGGTTGGCAGAGTCGGTCCTTCGAGGGCGCTTCTAGGTACGACACGGAGCATCGTAGAACAGTCGCTTGTTGACCGTTTCGACTGGGAGATACCATTTCCAGTTAGTTAATCATGCCAACTCTAGTATCCACTATCCCAACTTGCATGAATTCAACGGATGATTTGACGAATTGGCACAGAGAATACTCACTTGGATTTCCACTCTAGTCACGGCGGCGTGCTCTATGGCGTCAACTTCAACAAATATATCCGGATCCGGATAAACGACATTACCAATCGCCTTTTTACCAGACTTGCAACTTCCGTGCCCCATGAACCCGCTGCTCTTCCTGTACCTCAACCTCGTCCGCGGCCCGCAGATCGCCGCCGAGCGCCAGCGCAAGGAGGCCGAAGCCGCCCAAGCGGCTGGCCCGGTCCCGGCGCCGGCCCCCGTCAAGCCCAAGGAGGTCGTCTTGGCGTCGTGCAAGAAGTGCGACAAGCAGGTCGACGAGGCCGAGCTCCGCGCCAACTTTGACAGCCTCTGCGTTGCGTGCGCCAGCGACCCGATGTCGATGCTCTCGCCCGTCTTCATCTTCCAGATCCTCCTCATCCTATTCGCGCTTGCCGTCTTTGTCTACCGCAGCCTCTAAGCCTGCTGCCTGTCGCCGTGTTGTACCAATACTTGCTCTCTACTGCTCTCTACCTATCGAATCCTGCTATAATACACATGCACTACACTACACGTAGTACTGTACT